CCCATTTCATCTCCCTTTCACTCTCTGATGTCTTTTATACCTTTGTGTCCTGCATCTCTTTCTTCTTGTCTTGTTTTCTATCTGCAACAAATGAACAAGTTTTTGTCTGCTCTTGTTTGCATTTGCCCTGTATCTGTTTTACAGTATGTAGCTGTCTATTGCTCTGATATCTTTCCTCTCTCTGTACCTTTTATCTTTCTATCATCTAACTCCATATCTATGGATTTCTCTCCTTCCCTTTTCTGTCTCTTCCTCTGTATTGCCTGGTTTCTCCTCCTCCTCCTCCTCCTCCTCCCTTCTCTCCTCAGGTCCAACAGTGGATAAATAAATTATGTCCAGGAAACTGGCTGCTTTTACAACACCAATATCATATGCCTTTCTTTCTTTCACTTCCCTCAAAATCTTCCTTCTGCCCTTTTCCATTTTGTGAACACCCCACTCACCTCCCCCGACCCTCACCCACCAAAATCTCTCTTGTCTCTTGCCTCTTCTGGCAAAAAGGATGGGATAGTAACCACAGTCCTTTTGGGTCTAAATAAATCATAGCCCCGCACTGCCTCGCTTTTACAACACCAATCCTCCACTTTCATCCTGGCAGCCATGAAAGAGGAGCAACGAGAGGAGGAAACCAGAGAGAAAGAGACTATCTAAGGACATATGAGTAAAGGGAAGGGATATCAGAGGAAATGGTGAATGTAAAAGTGTCTTTAGTCATATCCCTCTTTCTTCCTCAACCTCTTCAGGAAGCAAAGCTCTTCTGTCAAAGCGGGACATAAAGAAACAGAAATTCAAACTGGCTTTCCCCAAATTTCTCTTCGTTTCTAAGAACGCAGACACGAGTTATTGGTGCAGCAGTCACGGATCACTGAGGTTTTTACTTTAGAGTATCGAGTACAGTACATGAAAGTTCTATTTCTGACAAGAACATAATGTAAAAATACAATGAAATATCTGTATATTTGTAAAATAAGGAATTTGTAACAGTTTTCGTCCAACAGAGACAAATGATTCTGGCTTTTAGTCGCGTCTGCACATCCAATAATTTCTCATTTCCTGATGGGTGAAATGTTTTAAAAATCCAATCCTTTTAAATGTCTCATCATTTTAACGTGTTGTCTAGATTAATAAAAAAAAATAAAATAAAAAATAAAATAAAATAAAAAACATCTTATCACTCCCCTTTATTTCCGGAGAACAATTATAACAAGATTAATGAAACCAACAAACTAAAATCCATTTAGCATTTTTAAAATGAGCCAGACGCCCAAATATTCGGCTTTGAGTTGTCGAAGCTGCTCCTGTGAAACATATTAAGCTCAGATAAAGCCTGGCCTACCAAGAAACATTGGCTAATTAAAAATGACTAGATTAATTAAAGTGGAGATTCATTAGTGGCACACACACAGAGAGAGCTGCACTTCTTTCAATTAGCATGACGCATGCACACATACAAATGACTTTAACACATGAACACACACACAGAACATGCTTCCATTTGTCTGCAGCTAACATATAGTCGCTTATACAATCTGCCCGCAGTTTTTAAGTAATATCCACACATTTATGTATAAATATAGAAGTGCATTCACAAGGACACATATAAACAGACGTTTCTGGGAGCGATCATTATCTCAATCACAAAGAATGTATGTTCAGACAGAAATCATAGACACACACACATACAATTAAGGATACTGGCAGACACACACCAGCACATACATGCACACACTCGGCTGGATTTTTATATTTGTGAGGTCCCACTTTGATGTAATACACCTCATCCGAGTGGCAACAACACCCAGATCCCAGATGTCACCCTGACTAAGGCTTTTTTTTTTTTTCTTCAATATTTAATATTCAATATTTGTTCATTCTTTAATTTTCCTTCCATTAACTTATTAATTGTCATGTCTCAGAGACCAAGGTGACATTTCAAAAAAGCTTGACTCAAAGATATTCAAATTACAGTGATATAAATCAGCGAAAACCTCAGTGGAACCAGTAAATCTTGAGCACTACGACTGATAAGCTGCGATTTTCTAGTTGACTAATAGTTACAACACTAACCCTAACCGCAATCTAAAACAAATACATCCTAAAAACCAAGTCTTCACTCTCAAACATCCGTCTGAAGAGGAGAGAGTTGATCTGTTCTGAAAATGTCTCAAACTCAAACTGGTCCTCACAAAGGCACAAGAGTACACTCACACAGACACACACAGGTGTGGACACACACACACACACACACCTACCTGATGGTGCAGTCACATGACCTCCAATCACTGTTATCTCTATCATCCCATTTTGTACTACGGTCACGAAATCAACCCCAAGAACTGAACAGATGGGGCTGCGTCTGTGTTTGTGTGTGTGTGAATATGTGTGAATACACATACATCTGTGTGTATGCGTGGGAGTGTGTGTGTGTGTTAAGATGCTTGAAATGAAGATCAGTCCAGCAGCAGAATTGCTTACTGTCATTCATGCCCTTTGCACACGTGCACAAACACTTGCACACGCATACACAAGCACAAACAGACGCGCACACACACACCTGCCTTTATTAAAACGTCACATTCAGTGAATATACTGTGTGCTGTCATGCTGTCTGCTGTGAATGGAAACGGCTGCGTATTTACAGTGAATTGTAAATCCTGCCGAGCACTCAGCTGTCAGAGTCTTATGAATTGCTAATATGTTGTATCTCGCACTGCCGATCCCCCTCTATCTGCCCCCTATCACTTTCATTGTGCGCTGAGCAAAAAAAAGTGAGGCCAGGGAATCAAAAAAGCTAACTTTACTGAAAGGGAATAAAAGATGGAGATGAAGGTATCAGGACAGGTAGAATGAAAATCGAGAATACTGCCTCGAAGCACAACGTTGTATTTTGGACTTGATGAGGTCTACAGCATAAGCTACCATCTATTGAACCATTTACCACTGTATCCTCTGCTCTCTTTAATCATTCATGTGAACACATTAGACAACACCAGACTGCACCAAGAACAATCACCCCGACTACAGCTGGATACTAATCAAGATGTGCCTGATACTGTTGGACATCTCGCTGAGCTTTTACACCACAAATACCATGTAGCCATAATAAAAAACACCTTTAATCTAATCACTGATCCCATTATTCTTACAATGGTGATCTCAAGAAAACTGAAATTGTACTAGCAGACGAAAAGGGAATCAGTGCTTTCAGTATTGAATTAAGAAGTAAACTGGTTTGTATCATGTCCTCAGCACAGACTTCATGCATTTTATATAATAATCTCTGCTTTTAATAGCCTGTCTCCCAAAATGTTGCTTGGTACAGTAGATCTCTGTGTGATAATGAGACAGATTTCCTCCAGAAGCAGCCAATTAGAGTTGATTTCAGCTGCCTCACATATAAATAAAGCATCTGATTATTGTTAAAACATGTTTAAAGCTATGAAAATCAACAATGTCCTGGTTCTTTTCAAATTATAACTTGAGCGCTGTTCCATATGTGTGTTTCTGTGTCTATCTCTGGACCTCAACCACTTGTAATGATCTGCCAGCATTTATCCCTGTGCAATGTACCTGAAGATGGACAGAAAGGTTGGGACAATGCTATCAGCCTCCTCCTCCTCTTCTTCTTCTTCTCTTGTTCTTTCTCTTTATTCCATCCTTTCTTCTGCTGTCGCCTCTTCTTTCCTCTCTTTCTACCTCTATTCTTCTCTCTTTCTTTTCCTCTCTGCCTAATTTGCTGTATAGTTTGCCTCCTATTAAACATATTCAGCAACAATACTAACCTTTTCACCTCTCAGCACCATACAGCAGAATACAAATGCATTGCCAACAACACTGCAGACAAATTAATCAATGCTTGTGGCAACCAAAGAAAGAATCTTTAACTTCTTTCCAGCTCTGTTTTTCCACAAAATTAAGGCTTGACACCACAACCTGGTCGTTCTGCATTTTAGCAGAAGAATATTGGAGATAATCGTCATTGACATCTCACTTCTTGCAGCGAGTTGAAGGTAAGATGCAGGAAACAAAGCACAGCATCTGCTTCTGTGCAAAACGCACACGGTGGACACACACTCGTGCACAATGACACACACACACACACACACAAGCAAAGTGGACACCTTTCCGAACACAGCTTGCCTTGCACAGACGCCAGTCACACCTCTGAGCATAGTGACAAATGAGCAGCTCTAGAAATGTGGACAGATCAGACGCACACAACCTCTTCACACACACTCACGCAAACACACACACACACATACACACACACAGGCTCAATCACTTACACAGCTGGACGCAAACACGCAAAAACATTAACGCATCCCCATATTCAGGGGGAATCACGCACATGCGTGAACACACATGGTGCAAAGAAAATGCAAACCACAGCAGGTGGCAGATACACTGTTTTTCTATTCTTTGTGATCGTGTGTGTGTGTGTGTGTGTGTGTGTGTGTGTGTCTGTCAGTGTATTGTAAGTCAAGGACTAAACATTTGCTGCTGAATGAACAGGTACATTACGCTTCATCTTTGCAAGCAATGCGCACAAGTACTTTGACATGCACATCAGCACACACACACACACACACACACAAGGGTATCACTGGGGATAATTCCCACACAGAAACATGTAAAGAAACTGCATTTTCTAAACAGCGTTAACTTAAAGCTTGTCTAACACAGCAGATATACATAAAGAGAATGATAAAAGATAAGATAGAAAAGTAGATGAAGGATGTGGGACGACACACAAGTGAGAGGAGAGGAAGGTGTCATTTTTACATGAGAGGAGAAAAGAAGCATGAGAGGATGAAGAAACTGAAAGACAGAAAAGACAGCTGATAGTGAGAAGAGGAGAGCGCAGGACAGATTCCTGTTTCACAGACTACACATGAAAAGGGGGAGAGAGGAGAAGAGGGAACTGATGAGAGGAGGAGGTAGAGGAGGAGGAGGAGGAGGAGGAGAGGAGAGATGGAGGACCAGGGTTTTTCTCTACTTACAGAATCTCCAGATCGCGCAGCGCTCGGAAAGCTCCATCTTCGATGCAGCTGATGTGGTTGCTGTCCAGTTGCCTGCACCGCGCACACAAACACACACACAGACACACACACACACAGATGAGAGAGAGATGGGAGAGAGTCAGGCGCAAGAGTCTGCAAGGTCCGCTCTGCTGGGGGAGGGACTAACAAAAGATGGGCTGCCTGAATGAGTGTGTGTGCATGTGGGTATGTGTGAAAGGTGATACCCCGGTAGTGGGCTTAAGGTAGCAGGTAGGAGACACCGGCGTTAACTCTCTCACACACACTCACTCACTCACACACACTCTGGGGATACCTAGTCCAGACGGTAGCACACAAGGTAAGGTTCTCACCTCAGCGCTGATATGGCCAGCCCTGAGGAGGAGAGGAGAGGAAAAGGAGAGCGAGGGAAGAGACCGGTGCACTGAAGTGGCCTGCCTGGCGTCAGCCTATCACCTCCTTCCCCTGCCGCACGCCCAGCGCACACTGGCCACCGGGAGAGAGAGGGACGAGAGAGGCAGACACAGCGAGGAAGAGAGCGAGCGAGCCATTGCTACTAAAGCCCACCCTGCTTGTCTGTTCTGTAAATATTAATTGCATTTCTCCTCTCCCATCCTCCTCCTCCTCCTCCTTCTCCTCTCCCTCCTCCCCATGTCCTCTTTTATTCTTTTTTTCCTCTCTCTGTAGTGAAAGAGGGAGTAATTTCATTACATTAGGCCAGCCAATCCATTAAGGGCCTTTTACCGGCTCTGTCACTGAAACAATTTCATTAAAAGGAAAGCCTCCGTAAATCAACCTACAGTCACGACTCTGCCTCCCGTTCCCGTTCTCCTTCCTTCCTCTCCCTCGCTCTCTTTTTTCTCTCTCACTACCTTCCCACTCTTCCTCTCTCACCCTCCCCCCCAGCTTGCTCAACGACTTGTTTGCCGGACTCCCAGATGCACCCTGTACCCCACTGTCATCCATCCTTAGCTTTTACTTTAATTTGCTCGGCTCTAGGTATTCAGCCCCCCCTCGCCGCCACCACCATCCACCACCATCCACCCGTCTTTCCATGAACCCAACAACCCTGAAACCTCCACTTCTCCCTCCCTCCCTCTCTCCTTCTTTCCTTCCCTTCCTCCCATCCATCCATCCCTCTGCGTCGTCTTCTGCTGTGGGGGAGCAGATGGATGGATCGCAGACGGAAAACGTACAAAGGGCAGACATTTTGAAGTATCTTCTTGCTCTTCTCATGTTTTTTTTTTTGATGAGTGGCATCCAGCCTCTTACACACTCAGACAGGTGGACACACAGTTGCAGATTCATGTAGTAAAAACATTCAAATACGCACAAAACTGACAGAAACACAATCAGGTTTTTTTTAGTTACTGTCTGCTCTCCAGACATTAGGACATAAAAGCATATCACTCCACCTTAATCTTTTCCTTCTTGTCCCCCTTTCCCATCTCATCTCTCTTCCTCTAGATCCCCCCCATTGCTAATCCCTTTTTCTTTGACTTCTGCGCTGTCTTCTCCTTTTTATTTTTTCCCCCCACATTTCCGAGCATTCGTCTTTTTCCATTTTTCATGTCCTCTCTCTCTCTCTCTCTCTCTCTTTCCATTCATAATCCATTTTTTTCTCCCTCTCTAGTGCCCTCTCCTCTCCTCTCATCTTTGATTCCCCTTCACCTTTTCTCTTCTCACACTCCATCTATCCATTGCTAATCCATTTCTTCTCCCTGTTTTCTTTTATCAACCTTTTAAATCTCCTTTTTCTTCTCTGCAGAGCCCTGCTATCTGCTTGGCACACTGCAGCACCTGTTATATCAGTCATGTCAGCTTTTAACCCTGAGGAAGGTGCTTCCCAAAACAGAAGCTAGGATTTCTGTGGAGGGCCACGGAAATTACATCAGAGCTTCAGGGGCGGCACATTTTGTTTGTATGCATGTTCGCCCGTGTGAGTCTGTGAAAAGAATCTTAGAGGTGAGTAAGTCCTCAGAGTGTCTGAAAAGTATATTTACTATAGCGCACCACAGGCACACCTCAATATACGTCTGCATTTCAACAGGTAGATGGTCAAAGAAATGCCCCAGAGTGGTCGCTTGGGTTGAGCTAAAATGTGAAGCGAATAAATGAGAGAAAAACGTGATAAACAGACATTAAAACGTTAAGTGTACAATGAGAATTATTCTACTATTACAGGTCTCGCCTCGTAACACAACCACAAACGCTTGTGACATTTACACACTTCTGAAAAGCTACCATTCAAAGCTCAATGTAATTGTCATTTTTTGAATATCATACTTCTAATTTGTCATTTCTTACGTGTTCAACACAGCACTGACATCCACCACCGTGGAACAGAAACCAGTTCACAGCAAAGCACATTTTTCGTGTGCTTTTTACCTGATATCGACCGGCTGCTAGCGGTTAACAGTTGGCATGGATTTGATTTGGACTCAACGACGTAAATATCAAACCGCTCCGTGCCCATAGGCCACGTTTGGCTCGCAACATAATTATTTCCAACCCTCCAAAGGCTTTCATAGACTGATGAGATGTTTTGATCCACTCTGATGCAATGCAATTATATTTTAGAGGTGATTTAGAGATAAGTTGTTTACCATCGTACCATGCCGCTCTTTATTAATTGAGCACGATTCGCAAAGATTACAAGGATCACCGACGTGGACCGCTAAACAGACCTGTGATCTAAATGCATGCGTGTACAAAAGAATAGTCTGACAGGGTTTGCGCTCTTGTCGTAAGTCACGCTTTGAAGCTAAGAGCTTTTCTTTTTTTTCTTTTTGTGCACTTGTTGAAATGGAGCTGTGTGTGTGTGAGCATCTGTTAAATGACTGGGGTCTAAAATATAGTGAGTCTGGGGGATTATCAACATATGGTTGTGCCATGTTTGTGTTTTATGTAATTAAAAGGTACGCAATTTTTTTTATTTAGGAAGGCAAACTGGCACACAGCCGGATCAGCCATATGGAGCTGCATTGCACTGCCAAAGTTGACTGTAGTTATTAATGCCTGTCTATTTTCAGAACTGTTCTTTTTGAGGCACATAGCATGAAGTGTCGGGTAAAGGCTGTCATTGATTCATCCATGTCATTTGATTTAAGGTTGTATGAATAGAAGGACACATGATAATGAGAGCTGATGTAACAACACGTGTCACGCAGGAGACTGAAATTCACATCAACAGCTGTTCACTTTTAAGTAAACTGTAATTACAGTCTTTGTCTAACCTTAACCAAGTGTTTCAACGCTCTAAATGTAACTTTGCCGTAGCTACAAGACCCCAAGCACTGCATAAGCACTGGACACTCAGTAATCTGGGGTTTCAGCAACATCAGCCACTATTAATGTTGGCTGAGATTTTGGTTGACTGCAAAGAAATTTCAACATTGACCATTTCTATACTGGGTGTAACTTTTGTTTCCCCCTTCTGGTCATGAAAGTAACTACACCAACACTGTCGATGCCTCATGACCTTATTTTCTGTTTTAGACTGTACTCCTTCCTCTCAGTGGTGAGTTTTGTCATTAGCAGCTCTTCATGGGCTCGTACCAGTTTTCTCCAACATAGACTCTTCCATACTTTTTAGTTGCCTACTCTGCCTCCTTCGATACGGTTGCTCCATCCATCCATCCATTTTCTATACACCGCTTAATCCTCATTAGGGTCGCGGGGGGGCTGGAGCCTATCCCAACCGACTCAGGGTGAAGGCAGGGGACACCCTGGACAGGTCGCCAGTCCATCACAGGGCCACACTTAGAGACAGACAACCAAGCACACTCACATTCACACCTACGGACAATTTAGAATCACCAATTAACCTCAACATGTTTCTGGACTGTGTGGGAGGAAGCCGGAGAACCCGGAGAGAACCCACGCTGCACGGGGAGAACATGCAAACTCCACGCAGAAAGATCCCGGTGCCCCCACCGGGACGCAAACCGGCAACCTTCTTGCTGCGAGGCAACAGTGCTACCAACTGCGCCACCTTGCAGTCTGGTAAACCAGTCATTGCTGAATAATGTACAACACATTTCTATCTGTGTGCTAAAGTAGGAATGTTGCCACAGAAACCAGATTTAAGATTCTGTGAAGTACATAGGGATTCGTTTAAAATTACCCATGTTTACATTTTCTTAATAAATGACTTTTTGTCAAAATGACTATTGACTGGTGGCACTAGCAGTGATTAATTGTGACCAGGAGCTTCGCCTAGTCAGCAATTTTGGTTGCCTAAAGTCTAACCAAACCTTGGGTGCAAAGTTGATCATAAAACACTCATATGTTTCATTGTCGCTCCGTCTTTTGTCTCTCAGTGTTCATCACGCGACGTCTTAATGTGAGTTTAGAAGAATCTCACCACGTTGCAGAGCGAACAAGGACTCGCAGGAAATCGGTGAAATATCTTCAGATCTTCAGTTTTCAATGGAACTCTGAGGGACCGTCTTTTGATTACTTTGAGAGCATGTTATAAGTTTCCTCCAGAAACCTCACATCTGTAATTTCCCAGAATAGAGAATAACTACTGGATTCATATTGCTAGCCATGTACTTCATCTTCCATCTTCATCCACGGTAAACGATTTCATCATCTGTGATATGATTGGATTCCTCTGACAGCTTTGTTCACCAAGCACCCTGATTAGCAGTGACATGATTGGTATCAATCTGGGATGAGGGCGACTTTGTCTGTGTGGGCTCTATATTTGTACCGCCATGTTGCATTCGTAGTCCTTGTGTGCTTTGGCGTGCTCCAATCATAGATGTTTGTTGCAGAGGATACAGAGGGGGTCCAAAATTTAATTTCCTTCCATATAATTAGTTAGTGTGTTTAATCATGTCTATCATAAGGCCTATTGGCAAACTGATTCAGGGCTTCCCTCTGCTACCATCTGGAGCCCCGGGAAGCACACACACACATAGACACACATAACAGTGCTGCCGCTGCACGAATCTATCAGTGAGCAACCAGTAACTGAGTAATTAATGAAAGGCCAGAAGACGGGAAGGAGGTTACACTGTAACTACGTTTCCATCCACTGCATTTCA